CCATGGCCTTGGTGTTATCAGCACCGCACTCTCCCAAGTGAGCCACAGGCCGGCCCTTGATACCCACTTCTATCTGGTCTTCTGGCATCTGGGTTTGGCTCTGTCCCCTGGCCATCGGGGGTTAAGTGTAGCTCCATAGTGAACCTTCATCATCACCAGCTTGGGCTTACTGGGGAGTCCAGTGCTATGTAGTTTGCAGGCGGCAGCTGAGATGGAGGAAAGGGAAGAAGAAACTTTCCATGTGAGTTTGAATATACAGAGTCAGGTCCTGGAAGGCAAAAGCTCCTGTACCTGGCTTGGAAGCTGCCTGGGTTGCCGCTCCCGCCACCTTGGCTTCGCATCGGGCCGTGGTGGTTTCCAGCGCAGGCGCTGAGCGACCGTCTGGTGTTCCACCTGGAGGCGTGGCTGGCGGACGCGGTCTTCGGCCCTGACCGAGCCATAATTCCAGAAATGCAGTGGATGAGCCAGGCCCTGCTGACGGTGGACATAACGAGCTCCAGGAACCTAGTGGAAATCACCGTCTTCGGACGGCCCCGAGTACAGAACCGGGTGAAGAACTGTCCTCCCTCCAAATTTGTTTATCAAGTTCTGTGCCTTCTTTAAGGAAGAGTGCCATGTGCAGGCAGAGACAAACCAAGCAGCCAACCCACCCATCCCTATCAGCTTCGGCATGCTGTCTGGAACAGCAGATCAATTTAGTGCTGGAATCCAACAGGCTGCTATTCCAGCCCCCTACCAGGACCAGGTTAGGGCAGCAGCATGGAAAAAGTTGGCTGAAGGGCCCAGTGAGCCCGCAATGGCCGGGGTCACCCAGCGACCCTCTGAGGACCTGCCCTCTTTCATAGTTCGGGTGAGGCCCGAACTATGAAAGGCCCCCCTCAGCAGCTGGCTGGGATGACAAGGCCTAACTGAGGTGGCACCCTTCTTGTGAAGACACCCTACCCTTGAGGAAAACTTTAGTTTTTCTTTCTCATGGCGATGGTGGATTTGCACTTCTCTCTATTTCCTGGTTCTTCCTGGAACCAGTGACCCTCACTTTGAAGATAGCCAGATGAGTCAAAGGTCCAAACTGAGGTCATGGGATAGAACGTAGGACCAGTCCAATCCCTGGCCCTGTTCTAAGTAGCAGAAGGGCATCTGGAGTGGACATGTGTAAGCATTGTTGGCCTTTTCAGCCCTGCAGGTGTCGTTTTCACAATACCATGTACATAGTTCCCACCAACAAAGTGCCAAAACCAAAATGGATGCTCCCCTCCCCCACAGGCCTTCGGGCCACCAGCCTCTTCTCCAGGCCCTCTGGGAGTGAAGACTGGCAGGGGGCACCTACAAGAGAAATCTGTTCCTGAGCACACCTGTGTTTTCTGACCCTGTACTCTGCCATGTCCCTGCTGGCTTGCTCATGAATAGAGCGACCTAGTTTAGCAAAGAAACAAGTACCCCACGGACATACAGAAGCACACACAGACCCCATATACACTTGTGCACACACTACCCACAAAACATCCCAGTCTTCTCACCTTAGCCAAAAGAGAGCCCACAATGTCATTTGCATTGAATCCAGAAAACCCGCAAGACAGAGTTAGGGCTGAAAGACTTGCTGAATTCTGAACCTCCCTCAGTCCCCCCAAAATGTGTGAAGACCCTATTCATATTTCTTTGGGAGAAGAGGGAATTTAGGGAGACTTAAGGGAGTTGTCCATGAGGACAGCATTTTTTGCATTTATTTATATCTGAACTGAACATGTCAGGTCCTTCCCTCTTTCCAATGGTGAAGGGTATTCATATTTCTTTGGGAGAAGAGGGAATTTAGGGAGACTTAAGGGAGTTGTCCATGAGGAAAGCATTTTTCGCATTTATTTATATCTGAACTGAACATGTCAGGTCCTTTCCTCTTTCCAATGGTGAAGGAAAATGAAATCTGGGCCTTCTGTCTGACCTTTCCTGTCTCTTCCCCAGGGACCGGTTCAGGACCATGGTCAACGTCCTCGGTGATGCATTCGGGACAGGCATCGTGGAAAAACTCTCTAAGAAGGAGCTGGAGCAGATGGATGTTTCTTCTGAAGTCAACATTGTGAATCCCTTTGCCTTGGAATCCACCATCCTTGATAACGAAGACTCAGACACCAAAAAGTCTTATGTCAATGGAGGCTTTGCTGTAGACAAGTCCGACACCATCTCGTTCACCCAGACCTCACAGTTCTAGAGTCCCTAGCTTCAGATGACTGGGAATGATAAAGGACATCTCCATAAGAGTCATCTCTTAGTAAATTCAAACATTATCAAAAAGAAAAACACTCATGGCCAATTGTACATTTAATTTGATACACAGACTTCCAGATTATATTCTTTATTTGGATTCACAGCCTTTGCTCTCCAGGTTTTGGGATTTGGGAGAGGGGAAAGATGAAAGGCAATTGATTCAAAGGAAAATTGTATTATCTGGGTTTTGAAAATCCTACAAGACAAAGTTGCGAAGTAGATAAAGTAATAACTGGTGGAATTAGGTAATAGGTGTGGAAGAGAAATTGCTTTCTCATGCACGGACCAGTGTTTTGGATTTTTAAAAAAATATTCTGTCATTGGTTACAAATTTTTACTCAGCCTTTCTATTGGCATGGATTTCCTTTGGCCTCTCACTTTATAATGTATCTAAACAATCCCTCCCCGGTTAACGTGCCAAATTGTCCATTTTGAACTCATCTTCAGCCAATTTCAAAGAAACTACTTTGAAAGAAAACAGACCAGCACAGTTCTGCAATAACAGTTTTAAGATGGGCATTGGGTTTGGGGGGAAGGGAGAAATGTTCTTTTTTCAATGTACTGTATTGGAATGCTGGTAACTGTTAACCCGGTGTTCAGTATAGAGATATATATGTATATGTATATCTATGTATATGTATATGTATATATTTATTATTTTCATATAATTTGCCAGAGATCAGAAATGAACTGTCAATGTGAAATAAAGAGCTCTCCTTGTACTTGAATAATAACTACAGTTCCTACCCAGGTCTGCTTTGGGGCTTATGTTCTGCTCAGAAACTCCTTTCTCGGGAGCACTAGAATGAGAAATCGTGTTGTTCAATGTTTCACATCTGTGTATCAGCCCCAAAGCAGAGACGCGTTATGGTGACACTCTGAGGTGGCATAGCCAATCATTTACAACTTCCAGATTCAAGCTGCCTGGAGGGAATCAGCTCTATATAAGGTAGTATACAAAGGTGTCACTCACAAAAGGCTGGATGTGCTTTTTATCTACCTGGAAGGCTTCATTCTTCCAAGTTCACTCATACCCACTTAAAGAGGCCAGTACTTTGCCACTCTTGTACCTCTGTACCCATCAGGGCCTAAACAGCAGTGGCAAGCTACCAGCTAAGTTGTTTTTTAATATTGAATGCATGGGATGAACAAGTCACATTGCAGAAAAAGAACTGTCCCTACCCTGGATTCTTGCAGAGTTAATCCCACGACATGAGACTTTGGTATCGGTGGTTCAGGGGAAATTCTTCCATTCTATGACACTTGTCTTCTTCTCCAGAGGGAGTTGCTCTAACTAGTAATCTTGGCCCTGCTCAGTAAAATCCTCTGCCTGTCACTCTCCTGCTAGTTTGTGAAGATAGTTTATTAAAGTCTGTGCTTCAGTTCTCATCTTGTAAATAATGCTTATCATAAACTTGAACTTACACTTGAGATTCAAAATAGTCCTGTTTCTGCAGTATTGTGTTAGTCAACTTAAACCTGTGCTTTCATATTTAAGAAACCAGAAATTGTGCCAAAGATAGCAAAAGTAAACAAATGCTCAGTACTGACGACTGCTCCTGCTCCTGAAGTCTACGAGAATGATACCGAATTGTCACGTAAACATCATAAATAGTGACCAATGATTCAATATGAATTTTTAAATGCAAATATTGGTATTGTTTATGGGAAATAAATCTAAATATAAACGAAGTGGAATCAATCATTTATCTTGGGCTTAACAGTTCTACCCTCTTATCAGGCTGCTCCAGTTAGTGGCATGAAAGTCGGCAGAGCTGTTCATAACTGCGAGTCGTCCGTATTTTGGAGCCAGTTTGTAATCGGCCTCTTAACACACTGTGCTGTTCACTCATAACAGCGAACAATGTCCCATTTCAGTCTCAATAAACATTTCCTCATTCTTTCTTCCCCGCCTTTTTCTTCCTCTTACCTGTTCTTTTATCTTACTTGGTTGGGTGTGGGAAGGCAGAGATATGGTCAGTTGAATCAGATTGTACACATTATTGCTTTCAAAACTTTATGCCAGAAGAATGAAAAAACAGGGTTCAAGAAAAAATAATCTGATTGTTCATGTCAATCAATGGGGATTACAAGGCTGAAATCCAGTGCCCTTAGTATACTGATGGTATACTTGCCCCAAGTATACTCATGGACAGAAGAACAGTGTTATCAGCTCTGGGTAATGACTATTTTTTCAACAAATTTTTGTGAGTCCACTGGGTACGAGGCCCTTCAGTAAACACGCCTATTCTTAGGATAGCCATGGGAAATGGGTTTGACTTATAATCAGGCCAGGGGGCAGCAGCAGTGCCAGCTTTGAGGGGGTTTAAGAATCTTCCCTCCTGGAGCAGGAGAGAAGAAATGGTCCTGCACAGCCTTAGAAAGGCTAGAAGATTCTGTGCAACAAGACTGATCATTTGTATTCTCTAACTAATGAGTGGGCACACAGCTCTGATTTCTTACCAGCTTTGTGACCCTCGGAACAATCTAAACCTTGGTTTCCCCTTCCATAAAATGGGGACAATTCTTGCCTCATGAGACACCCTCCTCTGCTTCATTTACATGAGCAAATTGAAATGTAACTGTAATTGCCATTCCAGTGTTGTAGGACCCATATCATTTACCTGATTAAGGAATGTAGCTCCCTCCACTTGGCGCTAGTTGGGTTATTAGAGCAAACAGTGTATCCAACCTAGTGAGACTTCATAAACAACCCACATTCTATAAGCTGGAAACCCCTTTCAGGAAATGGGACATTTTAATCTGAAGAGTATATGACTTAGAATATTTTCTCGTATAAAGTACCATGTGGGAAGTAAACAAAAATGAATGTTCACAGTCTTTTTTTCTATGATCTGAGAAACAGAGGGGTTTGAGATGCTCAGGCTGTGTGTTTGAGGCCCAGATGCACATTCATGTAACACCCCTTCACACATTCTGGGAATGAGTGCACGGCATGAGGTTCACTTTTGCAGTCTTGGCCTATAAATCTCGTGTGACTTTTCAAAAACTGTCCTGCCCACCTGCCAGAAGCAGACTTTATTCTGGGCCCCATCTGGGGCTTTTTAATACACTCTGTGGTAGGAAATGTGCCTCTCTCCCCTTCAATCTTAGACTTTTAAGTATATAATATAAACAACAAGAAGTAGGACTTTTCAAATTAGTTTTGGGAATAACAGTGATCTATGTATATGGAATTAGGTGACTGCACAAGTGTATTAAGTTATTGATCAGAGATGGAGATGATTGGGGACATTTCTGAATGGCCTAACCCACACAGTGTCACAAAACTCCTAAGCAAGAAGTGAGATCCAACCACACAATTGATGCCTTGTTTCTTCCCCCACTGGGACAAAGCAATGCCATGTGTGATTTGGAGACACTCTTGGTTTCATCTACAAATCTCCACTTGGTCTGCCACTTCTAAGGTATCACAAAGTTCATAATAGTTATGAGTAAATGCCCAAAGACAAGATCCATATCCCTTTTGTTATTCTGGTTGGAGAAAAGGGGCAAAGAAAGTCATAGCCTCTTCTTGAGAAGGTCCACTGGTTTCTAGAAGGCTTTGCCAGCCTGGACCTGGGAAGCTCTAGCCCCATAGATACAACACCAGGATTTACCTACAGAGAAGCTTGTCCTGCAAAAGTACCCTTTATCAGAAGATGAAGCAAAGAGCTCTGGAACTGAAACACAGAACCAACCACACTCCTGGAGGCTGTAGCATTCTCTTCTTTCCCTTCAGGGCATTTGAGGGAATGCAAAGCAGGGCTGCATCATCAGTTCTTTTCAGAGTGGAAGGTCTGGCTGCCCAGAGAACGCATGAGGAGTTTGGAGATCTGACACTAGTCAGGGTTTGCTTGATCTTGTCCAGGCTCTGTGGAAGGGTATGTTTTCCAAGGTGAAGGTAAGACATTGAAATGAATTAAGTCGTCCTGGGAGTGTAGTCGCTGGAGAAAAGGCACCACTCCAGCCATTTTATGGGCACGCCTTCCCAAAGTGCTAAAGGCATGCACATTTTAAAGATGACTTTGATCCTCCTCCAAGCATTCAAATCTAACTTTCATTTATCTTTCATTGATAGAGCCCTTATGTTGTGTTTCCAAGGTCATCAGCTTAGCTTGGCAAGAATAATAAAAGACGAGCAGAAAGGTTTGAGCTGAAGACCTGGGGCAGGGGCAGAGGAAGGGGGAGTTGGAGGGGTCTCCAGAAATGAATCTGAGGATAACAAAATGTCTAAATCTTAAGGAAACTGGGCGAGTCTGACAGGCGTCAGAGAAGTGCAACTGTGTAAACTCATGTTATGAACAAAAGCAACACCCTATGTTAGCAACAGAGGGACCCAGGCAGGTCCTTCCTCAACACTGGCTCTTGCCTTCCCAGCATGCCAAATTGGCTTTAATTCCCAGGGCTTCTGAGCTAATCCTCCATTTCCTAATTTAGCCAGAAAGGTTAAGATAGACAAGAATGTGTCAACTTCTCATAAATCATACATAAACCCAAGGCTCTTTGCTCAGTCAGGAGGGCCAGTTGGGTTAGAAAAACATGCCACCTCCAGTTGATGAAGAAATTGGACACAAACAACAAGCAGACTTGGGCTGCAGGATACATAGTCTGCTTCACTGCCACTAAGGAAAGGTTTGCTCCCATATCATTCCAGGCAGACACCACCTACCCTATTCTTGGGCATCCTTACCTATCATAGAGATGACACTCAAAGGTCCAGATTCTTTTAGGATGTTGACCTAACACCTAATAGCTGCAGAAATCCAGTGAGATTTCTCCTTGCCAGGATGAATACAAGAGGGGATGGGATGTCATGAGTCCAGAAGGAAAAACAGCAACACCATCACAGAGGAAAATCATTTGTGATAACTTGGCAAATGTTGGCCCTGCATTTGCTATGTAGCAAGCACTGTTTGTACCACTTAAATATTAACTCATTTACTCTCATAACAGCATCATGAAGTGGGTACTGTTATCATCTCCTTTCTTCAGATGAGCACACACAGGTGGCACAGCAATTTGACTCCAGTATCAACGTTCTTCACCAGGCTCTGTAAGGCACAGAGGGCCAGGAGTGCTGAACAGTAATTGTAACTTAAGTCCTGGGTGGCCTAAAATGTTCAAGGCGAGTAAGAATCATTGCAGAGATCTACTGTAAGCATAATGCCTATAGTTAACAATATGGAATTGTATACCTAAAAATTTGCTAAGATGAGTAACTTAAGTCCTGGGTGGCCTAAAATGTTCAAGGCGAGTAAGAATCATTGCAGAGATCTATTGTAAGCATAATGCCTATAGTTAACAATATGGAATTGTATACCTAAAAATTTGCTAAGATGGTGGCTCTTATGTTAATGTTCTTATCACACACACAACAAATAAACGGGAAAGAACTTTTGAAGGTGATGGATAGCTTTATGGTATAGACTGTGGTGATGGTTTCACAAGGGTATACTTACCTCCAGACTCATCAAGTTGTATGTATTAAATATGTACAGCTTTTTGTATATCAGTCATAACTGAATAAGATTGTTTAAGAAGAACCAATCATTGCTAACAGCAAGTGCTAACTGTGTGCTGGCACTGTATTCGATATTTTACATGCATAAGCTCATTTATTCTTCTTGACACTCCTACCTCTGTTTTTCAGCTGAGAAAACTGTGGCATAGTGGCGGTTAAGTAACTTGCCTAAGTTCACACAGCTGGGACCCAAATATAATTCCAAAGTTTTTTCCTAGCTATTAAGATATGGTGCTTCAAAATGCCTAAAAAGTAAAAGACATGCATCATAGTATCCAGCTGTCACCTCTTTAAAAGTTGTTCATCTCTCCTAATGATGTCATTTCATTTGCTACAACCAAATTTACTCCCTTAAATTCCTCTCTTCCTGTTTTCCCATTCTAACAAAGATCAATTTTAAATGTGTCTGCATTATCTCCTACATCATCTAGCTACCCGACCTCCCCTCCTATATGGGTGAGATGATATAATCATACCCCTCCCTTGTGTCACCTTTAAATCTTTCATTCAAAACCCAGTTCTTCAAAGAAAGCTTTTCTGTTCCAAACCAGAGATGAGAAGGTGTCAGAATAAAAACTGAAAACCTATTTCTCTTTTCCTTTTCTTGCTAAGTTTTTGGAGCTGCTTATTGGTCTTCACGCTCTGCCCCCGTTCCCTCCCCACTCATTAATGCCTTAATCCCCTACAGTCTGGCTTCCACTCCCACACTCTCCTGAATCTCCAAGGTAACAATGTCCTGCTTGTGAAATCCGAAAGGCATCCTCTCAATTGTCAGTTTTTACTCTTTTATGATATTTGTCACTGTTCGTTAGCTTATATTCCTCTAGGTTGGCTTCCAGGACATTACCAGGTCCTGCTCTGCTCTGGTCCTTTCCCATCCCCTTCATCACCTGCATAACCTCCTCCCCCTGCTGCTCCCTTCCTCTGGGTCTCATCTCTGCCTGTGCCAAACACACAGGGGCCCCTCAAATATTTGTGGAATGCATGAAGAAGCTCCATATCCTGCTGGTCTCTCTCTGCTCTCTCTCTATCAGAACTCACCCATGGCTTCAACTACCACCTCTATGCAGATGATTACCAAAAATGCATATCCATGAAATCTATACCTGCCCCTGGTTTCTCCTGCCCTGACCTTCCAGCCAAACTTCAGATCCCCATTTCTAACTTCCACTGGGTGTTTCCCATTGGCCTTTCCACCATCTTTTTATACTGAATTTATCCAAAATCAACCTCATAAATTTCTTCTGTAGTCTCTTTCCTAAATTAGGTATGATGTTTTCAAAATCATCATTATTTCCCCTGCAACCTAGGATCATAACAATTTCTCCCTGCTTTTGACCCCAAGAGGTTTGAGGTTGCAAGGCAGGTAGCGGTTAGTTCA